GACAGATAAAAAGAAAATGGAAGCACTTGTGAGAGATGGTGCCGAAGATTTGCGACACTTAATTGATCAAACAATTAATGATGAGCAACAAAATAATGTGCGAACAACAAAGGAGAATGCTGATGCATTATTTGATACATTGGTAGATAGAAAAAAAAAACAAATAAAGGCTAAATTTATACCAAAAGAACGTTTAGAACAATCAATGAAATATGTTTATGGAAATTATAATATATTTGAAAAAGATTGTTTACCACAACCCGCTGTTGTTCTGAAATATTTATCAATACTTGAAAAGCAAATTAATAGTTCAAAGACAAATAAAACAATTTATGATGAGTTAAAAAATCGATTTACGGTGGATACGTATCCCGATTGTCCAATTGTTTCCCAACCACTTGATGATAAATCATCAGTTGTTTATACAATTCAAACAGCACAAAGTGCTGTTTATTTGCAGAAAACAAGATTAGAAAATGAATTTAATAATGTGAGAAGATCAACAGCTCAATCAGGAAGAAACATAATGTCAAGAAATAACAATAATACACCTGAAACAATCTCGTGGCATTTTCGTGATCACATAAGAAAAATATTAATGGAAAATACATCTAGTCATACGGAAACAGATTTATTACCAATGCCAATATTTTTCACGACAATAGTTAACTACATTGTTAATGTAATGACAATCGATGATCAACATTGTCGTCCAGTAGAAGTTGATGTAATACAGAAAATTGTTGGTATCATTAATAACATGATAAAAGATATTAATTTAGAATTACAACCATTCAACGTAGAATTGTCAAGGCAAATAAAGTCTTTATTTCATACATTTACTGTTTTATTATTAATTAAATTTTATTATGATGAGCAATGTGATCATTTTAAACGCTTATTAGAAACGGTCAATGATAAAGAACAAGGTTTGCGTGATTATTTTATAAAAATGGTTGTTCGTAATACGTCGTTGGATGATGAATTTGCTGGTAATATATTGAAACAAATAAAGGATACGGCTGTTGTATTATTAGATAAACAAATGGGTATTGTAATGGATGAAATTATTGCAAGACAAAAGAATTTAAGTCGAAAATCGATACAAGAAATATGTGATAATAAGTTGGCAACAGCCATCGATAATGATTGGTTATTACGTTACATTCAACAACCGACTGATGTTATTGAAGAATGTTTTAATCAAATGTGGAAACAAGTTCAAACAACAATCACACAACAAATTGATTTGATGAAACAAGATAATCAAGTTACAGTTGTTGAATGTTTTGATCGTTTACAGCACATTNGTTATAAATTAAAAGAAAACGGATGTAACATGTTTAAACAATTACCGAAATGTGGTTCAAAATTAATTGAATTGATCGTTGAAATGAAGGACACATTTGAACAATGTTCAATCGCAAATTTATCAATATTTCTTACTAATATTCTGTCGAAACGAGATCAAATAATACAAGAATTTATGACAACACCTACCGATGAAATACAAAAGAAAGAAAATGCTATTTATACAAGATTATTGGATAAAGCTCGAGGATGTCCACAAACATGTCCATGTTGTACAAGACCGTGTGATGCTGATCATACAGCAATAAAATCGAAAGCTGGCTCAGAGGACAATAAACATTCATGTAGAAGTGGACATCAGTTTCGTGGATTTAATGGTTATCGTTTTGAGATCACTAATGAACCATCGTTACTTACATGTGAAGATATGCAAGATGATATGTGGATTATTGTCCATGGCACAAGGAAACGATGGCGTATGTTTATGAAAGATCATCCTGATTGGGATTTTGTTACTATTGATTTAACCAAAGCAGAATTAGATAATTTAAGGGGTAAATATGCTATGGTATGGCAAACAATCGGCAGAGAAATCTGTAAACAATATCAAATGGATTATGTAATGAATAACAAAGCAGTCCAACGACATGAACCTGTTCATTATATTCTCCTACTCGATAGTTCTGGATCAATGATAGATGAACCATGGAAAAACTTGATATTAGCCGTTTCCGAATTCATACGACTTCGATTGGAAGCAAACATGGGAGATCGTCTAACAATTATTCGCTTTTCAACAAAGGCCTCTTATTCATACGAAAATGAAGAATTACAGAATATTGATGTTAATACATTAACATTTGTTAATGGAAACACAAGTTTTCGCAGAGCATTTCGCCTGGTAAACGAAACAATTGACAAATTAAAAAGAGATCAGACATTTAATCATTTAAGACATGTAATCATATTTATGACCGATGGAGCAGGCAAATATCCGACACACGAATTAGAAACATTGAGAACTAAACATGGTGAGCAAATAGAGAAATTTTGGATAGTATCGTTAGGTGAAATAAACAGGCCAATTCTCGATCAAATAAACACAAAAATGGATGGTGAATTTAAAGATATTAAAGAATCGTGTGATCTAATAAAAGCGTATGCTGAAATAGCACGAACATGATATATTATCATACAGTGTTCAAGAAACAAAATGAAGTTTGTCGTGCACATTTTTTATCGGAAGACGCCAGGAACATTTATCTATTTATACAAACAAATATAACAAATAAACGTCCCAAATTAGACAGATACAATACGAATAATTTAT